AGACAAGAGCAGCCTGGTGGATGTATCCTGATCACTGAAAGCTGCTCCACCAACAACAGAAGCTTCACTTCTCGAATTCATGTGGACAACAGTGAAGAGCCACCTCCTGAGGAGCCCAAAAGAAAGCTCAGACACTTAGTCATCACAGTGTCACATGGAGCCCAAAGTATATAAATACTGTTTATAAAACTGATCCTTAATTCTGATTGGCTGAGCCACGTTCGAAGCTGTTGTAAATTACTCTACAAACATACACCTTTGTTTACGTTTGTGTGTTGCTCGGCAACCACTTTGTTGCAACCACAACGGATTCTGAGGAACTACATTGATTGGTGGAAGAATAATGTTTTTATTAATATCATTACACTTTATTTGCTCTGTTTTATTTTGTGAAACCTTACTACGTATATGGAATAACCGTTTTATAAAAGCCCCAAGCTTTTAGTCGGCTTCGCGTCGTACCTAACAACGCCCCTTAGCTGTTATAAATTCACTGTAAACCACGGCTTCTTGGGGCTTATTGCTTTAATATATTGTATATAGTTACAGAGTATGTTTTATTTGTAGAGTAAGTTTTAGTTTGTAGTGTAAGTTTTAGTAGCTTAGTAGTGTATTTAGCTCATTGCTGTGTGGATGTTTTTAGTGATTGTTGATGTACTGATATGTGGTTCCTGGGTTGTTCTGGGTTTTAATGCTTTGCTATGTGGTTGTCAGGATGTTTTGAGTGGTTTGCTATGCGTTGACATGGTCTTGCCAAGGTTTTCTGCACAGCTGTTGGACTCCTCTGAGCATTTTTCGTGCATTTCGTGCATGCGTGGTTGTTGGTTAGGAGTGGTTGTTTGATTTGCGGTTGGTTTTAAACAGTTGGCTTTGGTGGGTAGGTTAGGGTCTCTCACACGGTTTGCAGCTTGACGTGCTGTGAGGGCTTGTGTGCATCAGTGATGCTAAGAGCTACGTCACTGGTACTTCACAGCTACTGGTAGGGTCACCCATAGTGGACAGGTCTCAGCTGAGATGCCAGACGAAGACAAACCACCTGATCCTGCAGCAGCAGACTGGCCTGATGTTCCTGGCAGAAGATCACAGTCTTGTGTATGGGTAAGTTTAACAGACATACAGTATATATAAGAGAATAATGATTATGAAATCAGCAAAGTTTTGGATTTAATTAATTAAAATATTTAGTGACGATTAATTGCCTTGTTTAGAGTTAATCCACATTAATCACAGATTTTGAAAGTGCTGAAATGTTTATATGCTTCTGATCTTGTCAAAATGGATTTAGCTCCTTTTAAAGGAAAGAAAACAAAATAGGAAAACAATATTTTATTAATATTTTGCAACCAAAGCCTTACTAAATGTAAAATAAAAAGTCAATGTACTGAAAAAATAAAACTATGGAACACTGAAAAAAACTAAAACTGTGTTTGTGTATGTGTATACATTTATAAAGGTGTACATACATTTAAAAGTGTGTTTGTATACACACAAACACTATTTTTAAATGTATGTACAACTTTATATATTTATACATTTATATAATTATACATTTGTCTTACTATGCCAGTAAAGCCACTTGATATTAAATTATTTTAATTATATAATTTCTATATTAATTACATATACTAAATATACAATATTTTTTCAATATAAAATTTTCAATAATGGATTTAATAATTACCGGTACAATTATAAATGTTTGTTAAAAAAAAAAAAAAAAAAAGTCGGTAGGTGTCAGTCTTGAGCAGTCTGTAATGATACAATATAATTTCTCCAATAAAAACTTAGCTCTTGTAATAATCGCCTTCTACTTCGTTCTACTGTAATTGTCAATTTTTAACACAGCTTACTATGGCTGTCATCTGAGAATTTTTGCAGATGACATGACTCAGAACTGTATACTTAAAGTCTGCAGTATAAGTTGTGAAAAGGAAGGAAGTTAGCACAGTTCCCTGTGGGGCCCCGATGTTACTTAGGAGACTTATATATACTTATATATTCCTGAAGTATTTTTCCCATAGGGGATTTTTAAAAGTCCAATCTAACTGGACGCTTCACACACACACAAAACACAGGGCCCCGATGTTACTTAGGAGACTTATATATACTTATACAGTGGGTACGGAAAGTATTCAGACCCCCTTAAATTTTTCACTCTTTCCCATAGGGGATTTTTAAAAGTCCAATCTAACTGGACGCTTCACACACACACAAAACACTTCTATTATTGCTGTCTGTCATGTTTATTTGGATAACAGTAAGATCAGCACTGATGATATTGATACAGGTTTGATGATGCAATTTCCCTTGATGTTTCAGTATTTGTATCTGTACAAAATATTGTTTTTGTCAAGACATTTAGATCATACAGCTTGTGTATGTGCTCCCTTTCAGTTTCTTTAATAATTTAAAATGGGGATTCACATTCACAGATAAGACCAGGTATCTGATGATGTGTTAGGCTTGAAAGTGCAGCGTTTAACACACCCAGCTGATTCACTGGGCTCTGCTCAGAAGTCAGGCCTGTCCTTCTTCAGTTTAGAGTAGTCCATGTTGACAGTGAAGAGCTGTGGGAAATAGGTTATGGGTTAAATTATATTATTACATATTATTACACTAACAAAATGTACCAAATGGGACTTTTTGTAAGGTTATTATAGGCTTAACAGACTATATTAGCTAAACATAGATGGACATACAAAGATGGACACAGGAATGGCCAAAAAGTCTACATGAATGTTGTTTTCACCTTGTACTGGTCATTTGGCCCCAGTTTGTTCCAAGGCTCTGGGTTGTTCTTGCGATCCCATCTGTTGACAGATTTCAATCAGTCATATATGGGATGATATTAGACTCTAAATGATTAATAGATGCACGCATACTCTGAATTATATTGGAATCTAAAGATTTTTGCCTGTTTGATAATGTAATAAAAAGGGTTCTCACGAGCAGTCAGGGTTCTTTAGCGCAAGGCGGCCCAGGTAAAGCATAGACATGGCCGCTCCACCACCGATGAAGATGAAGAGAGGAATCAACTTCAAAGAGACACAGAATTATAAATAAATGGCTAAACAATGACAAAAAAGCTGAACAACCAATAACCTCCCTGTTATGCAGTCCATAAAATAAAAGACTTAAATATATTTTAGGGGTCAAACCTGTTATCATATTTGTTAATTCAGTTAAATAGTATTCAATAAAAATAATATAATCATGTTTACAAATATCAGCATTCAATTCTCTTCCTAAAAAGCTTTTAATATCAAATTAAACTGTAAAAGACTGTCAAAAGTTTTGTGATTTAGCTTGAGATATAGGCCTACATACATACATACATAGCCTACACATGAATGTTTCTTTTCTTTTTTTTTAAGAATCACTTTATCAAACCGGAAAAGGTGTGTTTCCAAGAATGACCCCTTTAATGCTAGGCAGTTCACTAGGTTTTGAGGGAAATAACAACGGTTTTTATGTTGATTCCGATCATCTACAAGCGGAAAGCTAATTTCTTTGATATTTAGAGTATATTACAAATCCAGTACTACTGCAGCTGCGTATTAGATACTGTACAACAAAGTATACCCATGTATGAAAATGTTGTCCGATTAAACACAGGGCTTTTTCAAAATAACGTACATAAATGTCCGAATTCCTTCGCATACCTACTATGAATATGTTCTATACTATTTTAGGTCTTAAGTCTTGTAAATCTCGATAGAAAGCTGTTATGGCAAATGACTTAAAAGAGGCACAATTGATTTCACCTCAATGTCCTTGACAGCTGCTGAACACTACACTGCAACACAGCCATATATAAGATAACCTACAGCCGGCATACGTGCTCAGCCACTGTTGTCATATGGTGAAATTAAATGATTTAAAAGAGGCACAATTGATTTCACCTCAATGTCCTTGACAGCTGCTGAACACTACACTGCAACACAGCCATATATAACAGATAACCTACAGCCGGTATACGTGCTCAGCCACTGTTGTCATATGGTGAAATCACGTACACAATGTAGCTATAGACTGAAAACCATTTGATCAATGCTAATATCCTCACCATATCACAGAATGACCGGAATATCTCATCATTGTGAATGAAATAACATGAAATCCATGTTTAGCCTACTCCCCACTGCGGCCATTCAATATACTGTTTGCCTTTTAAATCAAACATATTTGTATTAAATATACCCCTCAAGCAGCGGATGAGGATGTATTTACGACACAGCCAACGCCTGAAACGATTCTGAGGCATAATTTGAGAATGAATGAATCATCATTAACAGACAGAACAGCCAGAAAAGATCTGAAATACTTACAGCCGGGTGGCTTTTCACTTGTTTCAGTATGGTACTCAGCATGTCAAACTCCCGAAATATATATATATAGAGATCAGGATTAATGAGAGATCTGATGGTGTTCGTACGCTCTGCTGTGTTTCTGGAGCGGAGTGTAAAGGGATGCCTGATACTAATGCGCTGTGGAAGGACAGAGCGACAGAGGGCGTCCGAAGGTAACACTATTGAAATAGCCTACTCTTGTGGTCAAACCAAAATAAACCATTAGTGTTGGTGAACTGCTGGTGGTATATATAACTAAATTATTTAGTAAAATGCTCTGGGATATGTGTAGTTTAATTTGAATCATCTTTTATCCGAAATTATTTTTAGAAAGTTGTTAATTTCAATTGTTTTAAAACTAGTGCTGGGCAATGATTAATAAATTATATCGTGTCATGTAATGAAAATATGTGAAATCTGACTAGGGACATGGGAGCAGCAGGTATGAAACTGAACATTTGATATAACCGATTAAAAAAAAAACATCTAATTTGCTGCATATAGGCTATAAATCACATTACTTGATCACATGAGATTAGCACTTAATTTTCTTTTGATAATCACGACTGTCAAAATCACAGTAGACTATGTTGTTTCTCATAATATCACCCGCTTGGAATTTAGTAAGACAGAACAGACATTCAGTCATACTCGATTCTACTTTATTGGTGTCAAAACATACTAGAATTTAAGTGATCTATAGAACGAAAAGAATAAAACAATATGTATGTAGTTTCCCCAAGTACTTTCCAACGGGAAGGCTAGTCCAAACTAACTCATTTGAACATAAAGCATTTCAACCAAAGCTTAAAATAACAACAAACATCATGTGCGCAATGAACGTATTGAATAAAGAAATACTTTAAAGTCAGATAATGTCACCATTTACATTCTATAGCTTATCTTTAGCAAAAAAAGAACAAATGTGCAAACAGTACAGACCTGCTAACTAATCTTACATTCATGTACAGATTAATCTATACAAATATAAAAACATTCATATGTTCAAGTTATACAATGTAAACATTAATTAGACCAAAAAAAACACTACTTTTGAAAAAATAAAAAGGGTGAATGTAAATGTACCATTAAAGCATGACTGACATTCACCTCAAATCAAAGAACATGAATATACAGTACCTACTGAAATGGTCTATGACTGTAATAATCCACCCACATACTTTCTTCAATAAACTTTTCAATAATCAAAACAAAATATAACTAAAGTACATATATTAAAAAAATAATACATTTGCCATTTCTTTGAAGTAGGTGGTAAAATACAGATCTAAAATACAATCATTGCCTAATAGTACCATTCAGTACCATCTGGTATTCTCTTATTACAATTAGCAAAATTCAACATTAAACACCAAAGAACTGATTGTTTTTAAAGAATCTCTCTCACGCAGATGCTGATTTCACCGGTTTTTCTCTTCTTACTAACTCATCACTGTCCCACCCAACAGGACCCTGGAGAAACTGAGAGGCTGCAGATCAGGAAGTCCACTGGAGGTAGGAGGGGCTTCGGGAGATTGACAGGGCAGAAGGCTGAGCCTGTGTGTGGGGTGAAGTTCACTTTGTTGGGGTCAGGACAGGAGGACACGTACACGTGATCCAAATATGGAAGGCTGAATTAGAGGATGGGGGGGGGAGGGATGACAGAAGATACACAATGTCAATATTGAGTTAACCACTCAGATTGAGAATAGCTTTATAAATGTACATAACCACATAGCAACACTCTAGCATGGTAGACTACTTACACGTTCTCTTCACACACTCGGATTCTTTCACAACCTTCTGGTGGATCTCTCTGAAAGCAGTAGCTGTTATTGGGCCGTGGTGATGAGGACACCATCACAATACACGAGTTGACCTCTTCAACTGAGGACAGAGCATTATCACAGTCAGTTCAAATTAAAGATGCATAGGAAGGTATCCAGATTTATGAAATGGAAACCCAGGACATGTACTAGTTCAGCAGTCAAAATATACTTGAAATCTCACTTGATAATTGATGACAATTACATCTTTTTAACTTTTTCATATGTTGTTTTCAAATGCTTTTTAAAAATGGATTTTACTATCCCTAATTAGGATTATTATTTTGCAGTTTAAGATCATTTTGAGCACAAAGTATGTGCTTTCTGTAAACTGAATTGTTGCTAGTGTAATGGACCCTTTTCATATATCTGAGATTCTCAGTATAACATTATAAATGTATGTAACATTTTTAGAAAACAAAATCTATTGGTAGATTTACAATGTTAATAATGGTGGAAATGCCTCATCGCAGTATGTGAAAATGGCCCTTTTCTTTCTTTATTCATATCGGGGTGTACTTTCACCTATGTGATATAGTTAAAGGGATAGTTCACCCAAAAATGAAAATTTTGTCAATTTATTCACCCTTAAGTTGTTCAAACATCTTCAAACATGTTTCTGAGTTTCTTTCTTCTGTTGAACACAAAAGATGATATTCTGAAGAACGTTGGTAACCAAACAGTTGCTGGTAGCCAGACTTCCATAGTATGGGGGAAAAAGTCCCATGGAAGTCAGTGGCCTGGTTACCAGTGTAGTCAGTGTACTGCTCTGGTAATCAGTGTAGAATGCAGCTCTCTGTTGGTGAAAATAATCACTACAAGATTGCTCTGGTAACCAGCAGGGTATGCTGGTCAGGAATTTTTGCAGGGTATTTAAAGGTTTTTTTTGAATGTGCTGAAAAAAAACGGTACATTTCCAGGCACAGGACATCAAAAACCAAACTGTGTCCAGAAAACGTGGACATCTGGTCACTCTAATATATAGTTAAGTTTTTGACAGGAATAATATGGTGGTGACGTATCAGCAAGAGTAAAAAAAAAAAAGAAAAGAGACCTACCAGTTTCGAGGTCTAGAGGGCGCTGTGGAGAGCAAGATGTGGATGAGGAAGAAGAAGAGTGAAAAGCTACACAGGAAGACCCAATCTGAAATCCACTCTTGGAGCTCAGGTGAGGAACAGGAGCCCTGTGTCCATCAGGAACCTCATATAGCTTAAAAAAAAATAAAAAAAAAAACACGTTACATGAAGGTTTCCAGTCATGCAAGTTTCAATATGCAACTTTGCATGATATCAGCCTTCACAATCAGTTAAAAGGGTGAAAAATGTTAGACTTACTCCACAGTGGTGAACTGATGAGTGATGTGTGAAGACTTTCTCCAGCTCCTGATCTAGTCTCTCTTCACTTCGACGCAGACGTGACGGCAGTCGAGTCAATGACGCAGCTGGGATTAATAGAGCAGGGGACTGAGAAGAGAAGAAACACAAACATATTGGTATTAGTATTATTACAATGGCTTTTCATTCTTATCTAATAATATTTTCTATCCTCAGTTATTCCCAGATTTTGTTTTTACTTGAAGGCCCTCCAACGCAATATATATATATATATATATTTTTTTTTTTTTTCCAAACGTTTTTATTAACAGAAACTGTGAGTATTTAAATATTTAATTCATTAACAATGAATCAATGGTGATGAGAAAGAAAATGCATATTAATAATAATTTTTTTAAATACTAGTGTTTTGCTGAGCCTCCTTAGTGGGCCCCGGCTCCCGGGTTGAGATCCACCGCTCTAACACTAAACATATCCATCCAAGAAACCTTTTGGTATTTTCACAAATACATCTATATTTGCATTAATCTTTTTTTTTTTGAATGTTTTTTTAGTTGTTTTAATTGCAAGGGCATTTAGGATTTTAGGTTTCCTATGTTTCCTACCTATAATCAGGGCTTGACATTAACACACGCCAACCTGCCAAATGCGGGTGGATTTCAGCAGTGGCGGGTAATATGGTCACTCCCACTAGCCACTTTGGCAGGTTGAATTTTATATAACATAGCTCAACATTAATGCTTGTATGAGACAAGTGGATTTTTTGAATGGGCGAGTGAAAGAGAATTTTACTTGCCTGACCGGACAACTGATGTGATTAAAACAACTAATTAGGGATGCACTGAAATTTGGGCGAGAATGCTTCTGATTTTATTACATTCGGTGCAAACTGTAATCGATAATGGATAATCAACAAGGTCAACCTAATCAACTAGGTAATCAACAAGTAACAAGGTCGGGCCAGTTGAGGCTCACGCAGTCTGTATGTGAAACAATCTCGTAGAGAAATCAAAACAAATGAACAACTGCACACAGAAGAAACATACTGCGGTAAAAATGTAACTTAGTTTTTATATTTATAGCATATAGCCTAATTAAGCAACATGACACGACCAAGAGAGTTAAGTTTTCCTTGAAAACCACGATTGCAAATTTGACATTGATTTTATACAAGAGCAAAAGAGTAGTTAATATATAGTTTAGTACAATATTGTCAATGTTGATATTTTTTGCTCGATTTGGTTAACGAAAATAGTTCCAAACATCAAAGCAGAACAGTCGCACATCTCGGAGCAAAACAGCAGTTTCGTTACTGAATGATTTGCGTTTTTGAATTACTCATTTGAGTCAATGATTCAGTGGTCCATTCATAAAAACAGGGAGCCAGTTGCATAAAAGGTTTAGACTAGTCTTAAAAGTTAGTCATCTAATTTTATTCTTTAAAGGGTTAGTTCACCCAAAAATGAAAATTCTGTCATTAAAGGTGCAATAGGTGATTGTCTTCAGAAATTTTTTTTGTTATGCTGGTTGAAAGTCTCTTCACATCCCGATAGCATGGCGGCGCTGACGCTGACCCAGATCCGGCGTGATGACGTCATTACGCCGGATCTGGGTCAGCGCCGCCACACGCTCGAACCACAAACACACATACTTTAAAAGCATGCAATACATTTAAAAAATGCAAATTATGAAAATTAGCACATATCATATATTACACTTCATTTCATGCTAACACTTTAAGACAATGTTAGCATGAGACGAAAACTAAAGAAAAACACAAAAAGAAGTTTTTTTATATTTTCAATTCATGCTGGATGGTCTGATTAAATTATCTCCCAAGCCAGGCATTCATTTATATATTTAACAAAATTACACAGAAAGGAAGAGCTTTATCAACATACTGTATAAAACAGCCCATCACAGGCACACAAAACCGAAACGGACACAATCACGAAAATGAACCAGTGTGCAGCAAAATGGCATTACAGCCTCAAACAAAACTCTTGAATAGATATATATCTCAAAGTCTATATGGTATGAACCTTGAAAATTCTCCAGTGTGTACCTGAGTGGGTCCAGTCTATGCTGTTGAATTATAAACGCCCTAGATATGAATAAAGGATGTTACAAACACTGGTAAATATAGCCAAAAAGGGATATTTATCGCACATTTCATGGACAGCGAGTACTGCAGTATGCTGCACTCTTATACAGGAGACTAATAAAACTTTGAAGTTTGCTTAAATACCAAATTTACAGTACATATCTGATAAAGTGCTACGTGTGTGATGTTGTAGATTGTTGGTCTATAATTTGGTGCAACAGTATGTTGTAATGCATAAAATCTAACAAAAACAACAGGCATAACAAAATACCATTATATCTACCTAAAACTAAACTGAAATTAAAAACCATAATACACAATGAAATAAGATCAAGCAACTGTAATAAAACTGTGAAACTATAATAACCGTAGGAAGTGTTTGCAGCTGGCCAGCATGTGTTTAAAGCAGAAGAGTTTTTGAAACAAGCACTCTTCCTGTTACTTTTTGCAATCCTCCACACTTCCTCTAACATTTGTGTACATGTGTCAGAATATGGCACTTTAGTGCACTTGAAGGCTTCACCCGCAGACCACCGAACTCATTTGAATTTTATGAGCGTCTAGAAGCTTTTGGTGCAACCAAGAATGTGCTTCCCTAAACTATAACACAACCAGAATTATATTCTAATTTTACGATAATATGTTGCAGCATTTTGATACATGACATGCAATGACATAGGTTTCCATGATAGTGCACTACAGTACTCTGAGGTGCAAATAGTATCTGCCACCATTTACACTTACGTAGTGCAAAATACATACTGCTATTTTCACAGTGTAAAAAGCACCAATTGCTATTTGCACTTTCAGTGATGTTTGTAAGATTTTTTTATGTCAAAGTACATTCTCTTAACCCAGTTTGTTGTTCATTGATTACTATAAGTACACCATCTATGGGTTTATCTCCCCCAAATGATTGTTGTATAGATAAGAATATTCATAAGGCCTTGATGAGTGTAAGGGGTGTTTGCAAATATGCTTTATTTTTTTAATTAAGCTTGATTTTTGTAATTCTGCAAGCGATGCGAGTAGTGCATACATTGCATACTTTTTACAGCATACTCTTTAATTAAATTTGACCACAATTTCAAATAGCTCCATTTGATCTGTTTAGGTTGAAAAAGGAAATGAGGATTGGGAATGAGGAACCAGGGAGCATAGAAGTGTTTGAAAAAGAGACTGACAGTATGTGTGTATATTAGTACCTGATGTTGGTTGTGCAGTTTCTCTTGTTTGCCAACCAGAACGCCTGACCTTTTCTTCTGTTGTAGTTGTTGTTTCAGCTTGAAAATCTGAGAAAAGAGAAAAGAAACAGCAGACGTTTTTTTTCTTCCCCACATACATTACAGAGATGCATGTAGTGCGATGTAGATATATTAAATCTTACATGACTCACAGTACATACAACCACACATGAACTATAGTTTCATGCAATTTTCAATTGTATTTATTGTGCAATGAGACTTACAGATGAATCTGCACACACGTCACTACCATCCTGGAGACGTTCTGAATTTCCCCATGATGCCGAACGTTTGTGAAATCCAACAGCTGTTGTTTCAGCTCCAGCTAACCATGTGTGTGGTGTCTTTTACAAAAATATCAACACTATAATCACATAAAACTACATTTTAAGACTCTTGTTCAGAACATATTGTCATCTGTTCCTCATGACTTTGGAATATTGCACTAGTCATATGGACTACTTTCATGGTGCATTTTTATCTTGTTTTTAAAGTCAGCATGAAATGAAAATTCATCCCATTTGGTTACATCCTTGTTTTACTCACAAGGTTGACAGAATTTTTTTGTGAACTAGTACAACTAGACATTTTGCTATTAACCAGCTACAAGTGCAAATAAAACAATTTTTAGGGAGACTAAAATATAAGGCATATATGATTCATATATGATTATATGAAAGAAAGCAAAATTTTGGCTTAGGTAATGAGGAACCGAAAACAGATGATATTTAAAAAGTGAGAAAAGCTGATGCACCCACTTCCCTTCACATCTGAGCTGAGGGTTAAAGTTCATTAGGATTGCAGTAAATCATAGGCTGTGATGAGCAAACCATGGTACAATGATGGTGTCTGAGAGTACCACAGACTTTTGGTAATATACATACCATGGTACTGCATGGCCCTGTTTACACTGATATTAACATCTGTCCTGGGTGAGTCAGCTGAACTCAACTGGTAATATGGGCTAGAATTTATTATGGATCTTGCATCCTTTCACCTGTGTGGATTTGTCTTCCCTGCCGTGTCTGTCGTCCTCTTTGGGCCATTGGCCATGCAAGTACGGCCACACAATCGCATCCAGAGATACGGTGCGCTGGATGGGAGTCTGCAAACGCCACTCTGCTTTGGTCCTTTCACCTGAGGAAACAAGAAAGCTTGAAAACACCTGAAATCAAAGTGATTACAGTAAACTGCATTGACAGAAAGCCAGTGCTCAATTCTTCATATACTTTAATGAGGAAACAAACTACTAAGAGACAACTTTTTAAATAATTGTTTGTGGTGTAAAATTTATGAAATACATTTCAATATCATCTTTTGTTTTAAACCTTTCTATTCACTGGTCTAGACCATAAAATGCTTCTAATTAATATTTATATGAATTAGATCATATGAATACCAATCTGAGCTGTAAAGATTAACATGATTTGATGATATATTAGTATTTAGATGGTCTGATATGAACTAAACCAGATGATCATGTCTTCTAGCATGACTTGGGATGTTTCAAAGAACATCTTGTGCTTCAATGGATGCAAGAACATGTGACATTTAGTACAAAGGAGTTCACATGATCAGTATCACAAATTGTATTATTTGATTACTGAAATATTTCTTCTTCATTCTTCTCCATATGTCATAAACATTCTTGGTTCCATAAATCATTTTGTATTAAAACAGCATCTTTATTTTCCTGCTTTAGAATCCCAGATTTTTAATGTAGTCCCCACGGTATATGGGACATACAGTATTATACAGTATGCCAATGAAACCATTAATCTTACAAGCATAACTTAATCGTTTAAAGTAAATACACAGCCACTGTTTATAATTAAAATATTAATGATGATGAAGGTGATGATGAAGATGTGTTGCTTGCTATGCACCAATGAAGTCTGGAAGAAAACTGAATATAGATTAAATGCACATACATTTTAAGGTTAATGAAATAATGTATGTGTTTAGACCGTTGTAGCACATGAAGAAACAAATTAAAGTACTAACGCAGTTGCAAACATTCACATAACATTTCCTGTTGATCTTCAAGAAAGACATCCAGTGGCTCAGATCATGATAGTTACTGATGTGTGTAACATACTTCACCTGGAGTGACATTTGTGACGGAAACTGGTCTGTGCAGCGTGAAGGGAACAGTAGCTTTGAGAGGCTGGAGACCTGATCCGCTCCTGGACATCTTCATCTCTCCACAAACACTGACTCTGGCGTCGTGAGCGGTTTTTGTCCTTTTCCAACTGTCCATTTCCAGCTATCTATCCATTCTAAATGTTTCTCATCTAGTTTCTTAGCTAGACCGATAACTCGAAGATATACTTATTTCATCGCATTCAAGTAAACGATTATAAAAGTTAAGAGAGCTGCTTGCTGCTCAACACCGAGTAACACTGATCTCTACCTCTCAAAACTCTCTGCGTCGGATCTTTCATTCATTTTAGGAAGTGGGCGGATACCTTTAGGATTCACCTTTTGATTGGCTAAAAGAAATAGCTGCGTTAAGGTAATTGGGTAATAAGACATCAATCCAGAAATAACGTAAACAATTTTGGCTTCATCTCAAAGAATTAAGTGAACTGCTCATTTGCACGCACACACAAAATTCGAACTATTCTAATACTTTTAAGTATGCTAATACTTGGCCAACTTCCTAATAGTGTGTGCAGTCTGTTGTTCTAAGAAACCTTATGAAATCAAAGCCGGAGTTGTGTGGCGTAGTCGCTTTCTTTTAGTTTTTAATGAATCTATGTACTGTAAGTGTACTCCCAAATTGGGAAAAGTTGAAATAATGCTATTGAAACTTGAATGTGTACAAGTGCAAATACAGTAGATGCTATAGTTAAGCTATGGTTGGCGTTCCGGGCCCCCTCTCCCTTGTCAGGCCCTTGGAATCATCCTAACCTCACACCTCCTAAGTCCCCCGTTACGGTGCCCCTGCATACAATAATATAAAGAATCCGGGGTTAATTAATACTTAACCGTAAGTTAAGCAACATCTTTTACATATTTCATATAGATGTGGTACTGTATTTCATATCTATGTACAGTATAGATGTGGTATTTCTTCCACGGGTGTAACAGTCACGTCCCTGTGGGTGTCTTCAGCATGTATTGTTGGAGATAAACTTCCATCAGTGGTAGTTTGCGTAGGGTGGAGTTTGTGTGACATAACACCTTCTGAATTTGTAAATTGTTATCTTAAGTCATTTCAGCAGAAGAGCTGTTTTGTGGTCAGTGTTGTGAAATTTATATTTGTCATTTGTTTGTTTGAAAAGTACTCTTGTATTGATATTTTGTTATCTATGGTTTACATATACTGTGTTTGCTTTTTTCATGGTTTGGGGTTGCAGAGAGTTCTAGGAATAGAAATATTGACCATTCAAAGAATGTTTTTGAAACTTTGATATAGAGTGATATAAAGTGATCCAAGAATGCTTTTTTTTTTTTGGTGTATTTCATTTTGAGTTTCACTTGAGGAAAATATCCTTTCTTTGACCCCATCCACATCCGACAGCAAGGGCTTTTCTTTTGCCCTTTGTCTTTTGGAAACCTATCTTTTAGAATTTAGTCAGTTTGAAGATCAAAAGTCATTCTTTAGCTTCACTCTGCTGCATGCTGTGAAATCAATCAATGGTCCCATCTTTTTAGCAAGCATATTATGAGCTACTGGTCCCCATTTTGCGTTTAGACACCTCTGTTAGGTTCTTTTTACTGCAGCAGTCCAAAGTGAACAAATGATGCTGACCTTTGACCCATAATTGACACTTGTTCTTTGCTTGACCCCTGGATCGTGGTGACCTTAAATTCAAGCCAATTTGTAATGAGTTCCACAGTGACATCTGGAGGAGGCACAAGTTTGAAATATATTAGAATCATGCGTTCAGTCCATATGAGACTACAGAACGTTATGCAGTTATGTGAGATTTTATATCATGGGCTCCTTTGACTTCTTTTGACATCAAATGGTTAGATGAAGAACACTGATAATGGTTTATATTAAGAGGGCGTTTACATAACACCATTTTTAACTAAAAACAACAACAAAAAATTGTTTTGGCCATTCATTTACACAACAAAGGCCCTTTGGGGGCCTGAAAACGAAAACTTTGTTTTAAAGTGCAAGTGCAAAAATGAGTTTTAAAGTGTAAGTTTTTGAAAATGTTCCCATTATCGTCTATGTGATAACAACAAAAACCCAAACAGGAGTTATGCGCAACAGACTTCCGTATTCTGTTAACCGGGTCTCGTCGCTTCCGGTTCAAGCGTTTTGCATATGCTTACTTAAATATGAAGCAGTTTTACTCAAGATGCCTTCAAAGTAGATACCAATGATAACCAATGTCCATCACATATGCGGACTGATATCTAAAAGTTTTTTTTATTTTTATTCTTTTCACATTTAGATATAAAAATTGAATAAAACGTCAACAATAAAAACAGCTAGCTAGTTTAACTGATTATCTTAAAAGTCCATAGATATCGCTATTATTTAATACGGCTGTTAACACGTTCTCCGACAAGCGGAAGCAATGAGACCTGTTTTCCGGGTTTGGTCAGGTGATGTTCGACATATACCATATTGGCCTATGCCCATTACATGTTTCTGCACAAAGTGACATCGCCATCTACTGGCCTGGCAGGCATAGTGCATAAGCTACAATTAACCAAATTGATTTGCCTTATCATATAAAATTAAATAATATTTTAAAAGACACTCTAAAAATGGCACTGAAGCTGTTTTTTCATGTTTGTTTGAAGGAACTACACACCTTTTTAAGCATTTGAATCAAGCATTTGTCAAGTTACAGTCCTGAAAAAAAAGGGAAAATGGGGCTGTTCAGTGGAACAGAAGAAACAAACAATAAAGACACAGTGAACAAATATGACTCAATGGAAAACATTAGGACAAAAAAGGCAGTTTTATTGCTATTTTAAGTGACAAACAGCATAGTTTCCAATGGCTTTTCAAACAAAGAAAAAATGTGCAATGAATTAAAAAACTAATTTAACGCTAATTGAGGGTGAAGAGATGTCTAACACAACACACACATTCTCAAACAAGTAGACTTTCAATTACACTGACAATGGAGGGAGGAAATCTAGCTTATCAGTTTTATATGATGCCAATGCGATTAAAATCAATGCAAGGTTTCAAATCTGCTGCTAATATTCTGAAAATGACAGTGGCCCACACATTGCAGACATATTGTAATGATGCAACAACAGATGCCAAATAGATGTCAAACATACAGTACAATACCACAGTATGCAGATATACACTGGTCCATTTGTTTACTTCACTCACTGTCAGTCATTCAGCAATATTATACTGCCATCATGTGCAGAGCGATCCCATCTTCAGACTTACTTCAAGAGGCAAGAAAAGAGGAATAAGGCAGCTATTCCAGAAATGTCTTTCATTGTATTACCACTGTAATTGTACAGCAGACTTAAAGACATACACATCTTTTTAGTTCTTGCATGATGTTTGGCAGAGGAGGGATGTTTAGATGATTGAAATGTGAGAATTAAAAAATCAAGTGATGATAATGTCAAAATACTAATTATTGTAACTATAATATGCTTTCTTTCACACATTTTCATGGTTAATTTCTGGCTGTATGTGTCTGACCGGTTTTGTTTATATGTGTTCTGTAAGTATGCATGTTCCCATAAGAGATTTTAAAGGGCAATAGAATGTGGGAAAGCTGTGTTGGGCTTTGACACATGAAGTTGTAGTGAAAACTGGTTTCAGGTCTCAAGTCTGTCAGTGTGCATACCTTCACTGGATATCACAACAAGTCAGGAGAAAGGTTTGAACAGCAAAGACATTCAGAGATATCCGCATCTGAAAAGCTCTGACGGTAAATTTGTGAGAAAATACCTCTTGTCATAACTACAGAGGTCTAGCTATATCTTATCAATGATACTTTCATGAGAATTAGTGTAACAGGTATTACACAGGCTGTAGCCGAGCCATAGTATCTTTGGATGTCTTAGCTGACTGTGCAGTTTTTCTCTGCTTGGTCTCACTTGGTGGTCCCTAGCTGGGGGTTAGAGCAGGACTGGGCTCTGCGCTGATGTTTACCAGGCACTCTGTTGACCTCAGGCTTGGCAGGGACTTACAGCTGGGTAAAGAGGACAGAGAACCACACAGACCTAACATAGAGGGAGTGTAGTCTTTTTCTGAAATGAAAATGGAAGAAATAGGGATTATTGTTAAACACCAATAATAGCTTTTCCTGCTGGGAAAAAAAATGACAAAATCAAAGGGATAGTTAAAAAAGAAAACATCATTTACTCTCCCTCATGTCTTTCTTTTGCAGAACACAAAAGAAGATCTTTTGAAGAATGTTGGTAAGCAGATTATTTTGGTTAACACTGACCTCCATCATATGAACAAAAAAAAAATTGACACATATTTCTCAAAATATAATCTGTTATGTTCCACAGAGAAAAGAAACTCGACAGGTCTGAAATTACGTGCATGGCACATAAGTAAATGGTAAAATATTAGTAAGTTAAGCAAATTTTTTTTTTTGGTGAACTATCCCTTTAAAGTCCACATGAAACAGAAGCTGCAATTATCTTTTCTCTAATGCTATGTATGTAAGAATGAAATGGCTGTGGTTTTGTCCATTGGGAATTGATTGGATCATTGGTGTGTTGTCATTTACTAATTGCTGCTGTGAGTGGCAGATTGCCGGGGAGGAATTATAGTCTAGCCCTCACACCAGTGTACCGGTGTCATCAGAGAGGAGAAGAGGACTGCCTCTACAGTTGCATACTTCCCTAATATATGGTAGCTGAAAAATATTTAAAAAGAGTATGCTCTCAGAAAATAACTAACAAAAGCTGCCACTGTGGCAGTGCCTTTACAAAAAGTACTAATATGTACCTTTAAGGTACTAAAATGCACCCTTCAGGGAGTATACAACGGTGTACCTTTTGAAAGGGTACTGGGTAACATTTTATTTTGAGGTGTCTTTGTTACACGTTACATGTACTTACTATTATAATAACAATAAATTATGCATAATTACATACAACTAACCCTAAGCCAAACCCTAATCCTATTAATATAATTAATCCTATATAATTAATATTACTCAGTACTTAAATGTGCAATTACACTGTAACAAGGACACCTTCAAATAAAGTGTAACTGGATACTGTCCCAGTGACAGCTTCTGTACCTTTTTTTTTTCTGAGAGTGTAGTCTGAATTCATAAAGCAGTAGGCAAAAAGTACCAGGATGATTACTACTTCCAGCGAGATTCTGAAGTGTACATCTGATGGAAACGATGCAACTGACACCCATGACAATGATAACATAGTGAAGAGTTTTAATTTATTTAAAAGGGGATCCTATTCAGAGATTATGCAATTTCAGACACAGCCGAGATGTTTGTTGGAGGTGGAAAGATTATGAG